TGAAGGCCTGGCATGCTAACAAGACAATTTACTGACAATTTATCTAAGCTAATTTAAAACCCTGAAGAACTCTTTTATCAGAAGACTCGGCGTTTCTCTTGAGTTGTTTTTCTACGGATATCTATTGCAAGGTAAAGGCTTTCCCCCCTTCTTTACTGGATGGTCCTTTCCTTCTACATCTAGGATAGACTACTGCAATGCACGCTACATGGGGTTGCCTTTGAAGACTGCTCAGAAGCTTCAAATAGTCCAACGAGAGGCAGCCAGGTTAATATCTGGGGCGGCATACAGGGAGAATACAACTCCCATGTTACGCCAGCTCCACTGGCTGCCAGTTTGCTACCGGGCACAGTTCAAAGTGCTGGCTTTGGCCTATCAAGCTCTAAACGACCCCAGCCCAATTTACCTGTCCGAACACATCTCCCCCTATGAACTGTCACAGAGATTAAGATCCTCCAGGGAGGCCCTGCTTTCCGTCCCGCCATTGTCACAGGCACGTTTGGTGGGGACGAGAGACAGGGCCTTCTCGGTGATTGCTCCCCAGCTATGGAACTCCCTTCCTGGTGAGATCAGGTCAGCCCCCTCCCTCCTGTCCTTCAGAAGGATGGTCAAAACTTGGCTGTGGGACCAAGTTTTCGGGACAGGGCAATAAAGCAGCAGTAGGAAAGATGACCAGACTAATTATTTATTTATTTATTTATTTATTACGGTTGCTTATACCCCGCCCTTCTCACCCGGGGGGACTCAGGGCGGCTTACACAAACAAGGCACAATTCGATGCCTGTATTACAAAAACATAACATCAAAAACATAACATCAATAACAACAGTAATTATAACACTAATAACAATTAACGTAAACAATCAATATTATCGGCAGGAATAGCCATAAACCCGTAAAAACGATTAAAACAATAAAAGCAATTAGATTAGATTTGACGTGGATAACTAGGATGGTTTTAAATGGTGTATTTTAATATTTTGATAAATGTTTTTTAATGTTTATGTATTGTATGTGAATTTGTGTCCCTGCATTGAATGTTTGCCTGTGTATATGCTGTACTACGCCCTGAGTCCCCTTTGTGGTGAGAAGGGTGGAAGATCAATATTTTAAATAAATAAATAAACTAGAAACATATGACTCATTCACCCAACTGGGTTGATTTAGGAGAGGCATGGGCAAACTTCAGCCTTCCCTCCAGGTGTTTTGGACTTCAACTCCCACAATTCCTCCTCTCGGGCCCTTTCCTTTTCCCCTCAGCTGCTTTCACGGGGTAATTGAGCCTTCTCTGCAAGAAAAAAAGGGTAAACTACACATCCCAAGATTCCATAGCATTGAGTCATGGAACAAAAAGTGGTGTCAAACTACATTAATCTATAGTGGAAATCCTCTTTATGATGTGGTTTTATGAAGCACCAGCATCCTTTGGCTGAAGAGGCTCAAGACCTCGTTGGACTATAACTCCCAGGATCCTATAGGATGGAGCTATGGCAGTCAAAGTTGTGTCAAACTGCATTAATTCTGCCATATAGATCTTTTCTATGCTATGGTTTGATGAGGCACCAGCGTCCTTTGGCTGACAAGGCTCAAGACCTTGTCAAACTACAACTCCCAGGGTCCTATAGCATTGAGCCATGGCAATTGAAGTGGTGTCAAACTACGTTAATTATACCATATAGATCTTCTTTATGCTATGGTTTGATGAGGCACCAGTGGCTGAGGAGGCTCAAGACCTTCTCAAACTACAACTCATGGGGTCCTATAGCATTGAGCCATGGCAATTGAGGTGGTGTCAAAACTGCATTAATTCTTCCATTTAGATCTTGTCTATTCTCTGGTTTGATGAGGCGCCAGTGGCTGAGGAGGCTCAAGACCTTCTCAAACTACAACTCATGGAGTCCTATAGCATTGAGCCATGGCAATTGAAGTGGTGTCAAAACTGCATTAATTCTACTGTATAGATCTTGCCCATGCTATAATTTGATGAAGCACCAGCGTCATTTGGCTGACGAGGCTCAAGACCTTATCAAACTACAACTCCCAGGGTCCAATAGCATTGAGCCATGGCATTTGAAGTGGTGTTAAACTACATTAATTATACCATATAGAGCTTCACTGTGCTATGGTCTGATGAGGCACCAGTGGCTGAGGAGGCTCAAGACCTCATCAAACTACAATTCCCAGGATCCTATAGCATTGAGCCATGGCAATTGAGGTGGTGTCAAAACTGCATTAATTCTTCCATTTAGATCTTGTCTATGCTATGGTTTGATGAGGCACCAGTGGCCAAGGAGGCTCAAGACCTCGTCAAACTACAACTCCCAAGGTCCTATAGCATTGAGACATGGCAGTTGAAGTGGTGTCAAACTACATTAATTATACCATATAGATCTTCTTTATGCTATGGTTTGATGAGGCTCCAGTGGCTGACGAGGCTCAAGACCTTCTCTTCTTTATGCTATGGTTTGATGAGGCTCCAGTGGCTGAGGAGGCTCAAGACCTTCTCAAACTACAACTCATGGAGTCCTATAGCATTGAGCCATGGCAATTGAACTGGTGTCAAAACTGCATTAATTCTACTGTAAAGAACTTGTCTATGCTATAGTTTGATGAGGCATCAGTGTCCTTTGGCTGACGAGGCTCAAGACCTTCTCAAACTACAACTCCCAGGGTCCAATAGCATTGAGCCATGGCATTTGAAGTGGTGTTAAACTACATTAATTATACCATATAGAGCTTCACTGTGCTATGGTCTGATGAGGCACCAGTGGCTGAGGAGGCTCAAGACCTCATCAAACTACAATTCCCAGGATCCTATAGCATTGAGCCATGGCAATTGAGGTGGTGTCAAAACTGCATTAATTCTTCCATTTAGATCTTGTCTATGCTATGGTTTGATGAGGCACCAGTGGCCAAGGAGGCTCAAGACCTCGTCAAACTACAACTCCCAAGGTCCTATAGCATTGAGACATGGCAGTTGAAGTGGTGTCAAACGACATTAATTATACCATATAGATCTTCTTTATGCTATGGTTTGATGAGGCTCCAGTGGCTGAGGAGGCTCAAGACCTTCTCAAACTACAACTCATGGGGTCCTATAGCATTGAGCCATGGCAATTGAGGTGGTGTCAAAACTGCATTAATTCTTCCATTTAGATCTTGTCTATGCTATGGTTTGATGAGGCACCAGTGGCCAAGGAGGCTCAAGACCTCGTCAAACTACAACTCCCAAGGTCCTATAGCATTGAGACATGGCAATTGAACTGGTGTCAAAACTGCATTAATTCTACTGTAAAGAACTTGTCTGTGCTATAGTTTGATGAGGCATCAGTGTCCTTTGGCTGACGAGGCTCAAGACCTTCTCAAACTACAACTCATGGGGTCCTATAGCATTGAGCCATGGCAATTGAAGTGGTGTCAAACTACATTAATTATACCATATAGATCTTCTTTATGCTATGGTTTGATGAGGCTCCAGTGGCTGAGGAGGCTCAAGACCTTCTCAAACTACAACTCATGGGGTCCTATAGCATTGAGCCATGGCAATTGAAGTGGTGTCAAAACTGCATTAATTCTACTGTATAGATCTTGCCCATGCTATAATTTGATGAAGCACCAGCGTCATTTGGCTGACGAGGCTCAAGACCTTATCAAACTACAACTCCCAGGGTCCAATAGCATTGAGCCATGGCATTTGAAGTGGTGTTAAACTACATTAATTATACCATATAGAGCTTCACTGTGCTATGGTCTGATGAGGCACCAGTGGCTGAGGAGGCTCAAGACCTCATCAAACTACAATTCCCAGGATCCTATAGCATTGAGCCATGGCAATTGAGGTGGTGTCAAAACTGCATTAATTCTTCCATTTAGATCTTGTCTATGCTATGGTTTGATGAGGCACCAGTGGCCAAGGAGGCTCAAGACCTCGTCAAACTACAACTCCCAAGGTCCTATAGCATTGAGACATGGCAGTTGAAGTGGTGTCAAACGACATTAATTATACCATATAGATCTTCTTTATGCTATGGTTTGATGAGGCTCCAGTGGCTGACGAGGCTCAAGACCTTCTCAAACTACAACTCATGGGGTCCTATAGCATTGAGCCATGGCAATTGAAGTGGTGTCAAAACTGCATTAATTCTACTGTATAGATCTTGCCCATGCTATAATTTGATGAAGCACCAGCGTCATTTGGCTGACGAGGCTCAAGACCTTATCAAACTACAACTCCCAGGGTCCAATAGCATTGAGCCATGGCATTTGAAGTGGTGTTAAACTACATTAATTATACCATATAGAGCTTCACTGTGCTATGGTCTGATGAGGCACCAGTGGCTGAGGAGGCTCAAGACCTCATCAAACTACAACTCCCAGGATCCTATAGCATTGAGCCATGGCAATTGAGGTGATGTCAAAACTGCATTAATTCTTCCATTTAGATCTTGTCTATGCTATGGTTTGATGAGGCACCAGTGGCTGAGGAGGCTCAAGACCTCGTCGAACTACAACTCCCGGGGTCCTATATCATTGAGCCATGGGAGTTGAAGTGGTGTCAAAACTGCATTAATTCTACCATACAGATCTTCACTCTGCTATGCTTTGATGAGATACCAGAATCCTTTGGTTGAGTAGGCTCAAGACTTTGTCAAACTACAACTCCCAGGGTCCGATAGCATTGAGTCATGGCAGTGGAAGTGGCGTCAAGCTGTCTCTATGGACCTGGGGTCAACTTTGGAAAAGAAGATGCACCGAAACACATTGGAGTTTTATTACAAAGCATTTGGAGCTTTATTGGCTTACAGCTTTGAGAATTGCTCCGAAGGCATTAAAGGAGGGCAAAACAATAAAGTACTGAGAGAGAGAGAGAGAGAGAGAGAGAGAGAATACCAGGAACAAAGGCTCTTTTCCTCTATCTTCCTTCTCCATCTCCCATTAATGGAGAGACCTTGGGTTGTTCCTCCAAGCCGGATGGATGTGGTGGCTCCCCGGCAGTACTTTCAGTGTGCCTTCTTTGCCACGACCACGAAAAACACGATGCCGGCAATAATAGCGATCACTCCGAGGACGATCCCGACAATGTTGAGAGTGCGGGCCGTGCGGGATGCTTTGGCAGCCATGTTGCTGTTCCCCACGGCATTGGCATTGTTCACCTGAAGGAAGGAAGGAAGGAAGGAAGGAAGGAAGGAAGGAAGGAAGGAAGGAAGGAAGGAAGGAAGGAAGGAAGGAAGGAAGGAAGAGCCAGGACGTCAGAACCCAAAATCTTTCACGTAACCAACAACATCATAGAATCAACACATCCTAGAGCTGGAAGAGATCCCCAAAAACCACCCAGTCCAACTCCCTTCTGCCAGCAACAAAGGCACCATCCAAGCCCTCCTTCCAGATGATCATCCAACCTCTGTGTCAGAAACTCCAGAGAAGGAAATTCCACCAGAAATGCCAAACTACAGCTCCTATGATCCTATACCAGTTAGGGGCAAACCCAGGCCCGCGGGCCAGATATGGCTCCTTGGGCTCTTTTCTCAGGCCCTGCTCTCTCACACCATCCTATCTTTCCTTCCTTCCCTCTTTCCTTCCTCCTTCCCTCTCTCTTTCTCCTTTCCTTCCACCCTTTCATTCTTCCTTCCTTCTCTCTTTCCTTCCTCCTTCCATTCCTTACTTCCTTCCCCCCTTCCACCCTTTTGTCCTTCTCCTTCCCTCCCTTATGTCTTTCTTTCTTTCCTCCTTACCTTCCTCCCTTCCCTCTCTCTTTCTGCTTCCATCCTTCCCTTCCTTCCCTCTTTCCTCCCTCTCTCCCTCTTTCTCCTTCCTTCCCTTTTGTCTTCGTTTCCCTTTCTCTTTCCTTTATCTTTTCCTTCTTTCCATCCTTCTCTTCAACCCTGTCTTCCTTCTATTTTTCCTTCCCTTTATTACTTCTATCCATCCTTCCCTTTCACTGTTCCTTCCTTCCTTCCTCTCTTCCTTCCCTTTTGTTCTTCCTTCCATCCTTCCCTTCCACTGTTTCTTCTGTCCTTCTTTCCCTTTCGTTTGTTTTCATTCTCTTTCCTTCCTCCTTCCCTTCCTTCCTCCTTCCCTTCCTTCCTTCCATCCTTCCCTTCCCCTTTTCCTCTTCCTCCTTTTTTCTTCCTTCTCCCTTCCTTCCTTCTTCCTTCCTCCTTCCTTCCCTTTCCTTCCTTCCTTCTCCTTCCTTCCTTCCTTCCTCCTCCCTTCCCTTTCCTTCCTTCCTTCCTTCCTTCCTTCCTTCCTTCTTCCTTCCTTCCATCCTTCCATCCTTCTCCTTCCTCCTTTCCTTCCTTCTTCTCTTCCCTTTTTTCTTCCCTTTTTTCCTTCCTTCTCTCTTTCCTTCCTCCTTCTCTTCCTTTCCTTCTCCTTCCTTTTTTCTTCCTTCTCTCCTTCCTTCCTTCTCCCTCCCTTTCTCTTCCTTCCTTCTCTTCCTTCCTTCCTTCCTTCCTTCCTTCCTTCCTTCCTTCCTTTTCCTCTTTCCTTCTCTCTTCCTCCTTTCTTTCCTTCCATCCTTCCCTTCCACTCTTCCTTCCTTCCTTCCCTTCCCTTCCACTGTTTCTTCTTTCCTTCCATCCTTCCATCCTTCCCTTCCACTGTTCCTTCCTTCCTGCCTTCCCTTCCCTTCCCTTCTTCCCTTTCATCCTTCCATCTTTCCCTTCCACTCTTCCTTCCTTCCTTCCCTTTTTTCCTTCCTTCTCTCTTTCTTCCTTCTCCTTCCTTCCTTCCTCCTTTCCTTCCTTCCTTCTTCCTTCCTTCCTTCCTTCCTTCCTTCCCTTCCTTCCTTCCCTTCCCTTCCCTTCCCTTCCCTTCCCTTCCACTGTTTCTTCCTTCCTTCCTTCTTTCATTCCTTCCTTCCTCCTTTCCTTCCTCCTTCTCTTCCTTCCTTCCATCCATCGCTGGCCAGCCTGTCCTCCCAGCAGGGAGTGCTAGCACGCAGCCATCAAAGAAAGGAAGTTTGCCCAGGCCTGTCCTATATCATTGTTCAAGTCTTGGGTCAAGATGCGCAATAACACTATGTTACAAAAATCAGGGTGGGAATTCTGTTCCTGTTTTGAAAGTGTCCTTTCCTGTTTAATTGTTTGGTCCTGGCTTTGGAAGTCGTTGTTATCCCCCAGAAACTTTGTTTTTGTGACTGCCACAAACTGGGTTGAATTGATTGAGACTGAGTGAGACACTCATTGAAAAATTATAGCAAAACGTGCTCAGTAAAAACAAAAGTTTTTGCAATTTAATAAACTTTTTCATGTCTTTATGATAGAAACAATTAGGAAATGGCATTGATAAGCCAGGAACAAAATTTGTGTTGCATAGTGTGATTGCTTCTTTTTCTAGCTTCCAAACGGAGCATTCCAAAAGGTTGGAGTCATGAAAAAATGTCATCGTACTCAACAGCATTATTTATTCCCCATCCAAAGGTTTGCATAGACACTATTATTGTTATTGTTAGTAATGGTACTATATATGCCTCACTTTCTCTCTCTCTCTCATTCTCTGTCTCAATACTCTCATGTAAAAGAGAATTCAATAATATTTTGCAATCAAGGAAAGGCAGCATTCCAAGCTGATACCATCATGGAAACAAGAAGAGGAGGGGAGGGGAGTTCAGAAAAGATGCAAACTTGGCCAAAATAGGGTGGGAAAGAGAGAAAGTTTGCGTGCAGAGGGAGGGGCTTAACCCACAAAAACAAGGCTCTAAAGTTATGGGTGCATCTACACTGTCGAGTTAACGCAGTTTGGCACCACTTTCACTGCACTGGTTTGGAGACAGAAAGAGTTGGGATGTTTGTTGAATTTGGCACATACATGCATAATACATCCCAAGAATATATGTCTCCAAATTTGTACTTTTCCTCTCTGTTAGAGAGAGAACGAAAGAAAGAAATCGTATAGAGAGGGAAAGAACTGGGATGCTTGTTTATGTTTCCTTCTCTCCTTCCTTCTTTTCCTCTTTCTCTCCTTTCTTCCTTCTCTCTTTCCTTCCTTCATTTGCTTTTTGCTTCCACCCTTCCTTCTGTCTTTCCTTCCCTCCCTCTTTCTTTCCCTTCTTCCTTCGCTCCCTCTTTCCTTCCTTCCTTCCTTTCTTTCTTTCTCTCCTTCCTTCTTTCTCTACCTCTTTCTTTCCTTTCCCCTTTTTCTTTTCCTCTTTCTCTCCTTTCTTCCTTCTCTACCTCTTTCCTTCCTTCCTTCGCTCTTTGCTTCCATGCTTCCTTCTTTTTTCCTTTCTTTCTTTCTTTCTTTCTTTCTTTCTTTCTTTCTTTCTTTCTCCCCTTCTTTTCCTCCCTCTTCCTTCCTTTTTTTCTGTATTGTCATTTAGCTTTTCATTATTTAGCTTTTGGGGGATTGTAAGTCCTTCCCACTGTGTTTTTCAGTGTTCTTATGAGTGATGGTCACTCGTTGGCCTGAGAGGTCTCTTGTGTCCAAATTTGGTGTCAATTCACCCAGTGGTTTTTGAGTTATGTTAATTGCACAAACGAACATTACATTTTTATGTATATAGATACACACACACACACACACACACACACACACACATACAATACATCCCAAGAATTTATATCTCCAAATCTGTACTTTTCCTCTCTCTTAGAGAAAGAAAGAAAGATGATAAACAATAGACAGATAAGCTTAGAAAGAGGAAAATACTTTTTTGTATACGTTTAGGGATATGAAGAATGGGGTAGTTCTTAATGTATCAATATATATTTGTATTCCCCTCAATATCCCAAAGGTTTATCTCTCTAAAACCTGTACATAAGGTCTTTTCCTCTCTTAGAGATAGATATTTATACCCCGTCCTTCTCAACCCCGAAGGGGACTCAAGCAACCGTTACACATAGGGAACTATTCAATGCCTTAAAGACAACATACAATTAGCATCAACATTTAAATTAAGATTAAAATTAAGATACATTAAAGCAGTTAAGAACATTACATCCATTATCTATCAATCAATGGATCGAGATAGATAGATGTATTGTCGAAGGCTTTCATGGCCAGAATCACTGGGCTGTAGGTTTTTCCAGGCTGTATGGCCATGTTCCAGAAGCATTCTCTCCTGACATTTCACCTGTTGGGAAGTCTCAGACCTCTGAGGATGCCTGCCATAGATGCAGGCGAAATGTCAGGAGATAATGCTTTTGGAACATGGCCATATAGCCCGAAAAACTTACAACAAGCCAATAGATAGCTAGAGAGAGAGAGAGAGAGAGAGAGAGATAGATAGATAGATAGATAGATAGATAGATAGATAGATAGATAGATAGATGATAGATAGAGACAGAGAGACAGACAGACAGACAGAAATAGATAGATGATAGATAGAGAGATAGACTGAAAGACAGACAGACAGACAGACAGACAGACAGACAG